GTGTGTGTGTGTGTGTGTGTGTGTGTGTGTGTGTTCCCTTGGGAAAGTCAGTGCTACATCAGATTACCCAGGGTCTTTGTTCAAGTAATAATCTACTAGAAATTGCCTTCGCTTTGCCAGTTCTCCTGTGAGAATATCATGCATTCCTCCGATTTTTCCTCACAGCTTTATACAACTTAATATTCAGGCTGGGGAAACTGGAAATCTCCTCCAGGTCAAACAACTCCTTAAATCTATCTACAAATTTATTCTCCTTCTCCAACCTGAATTTCATGACCCAGAGGATGACAGTGGTTTCTTTGCACAGATGGTCAAAGGTAATGAGGAGTTCTTCCAGGAAAGGGTGCGCGTAGACAACGTCGGCCGCCAGGATGTAGTCGAAGTTGCTGGAAGACCTGGGGAAGTTCTTGTCTAAGGCGACGCCCCAGGAGAGCTCCTTAACCTGAGGCAAGTGCTTACATTTCATTTTGGTGTTTCGGGAAATATTATATTGCAGGTTTCCAAGTAACTCGGGTAAATCTGTGGCAGTCACGTGTGCCCCTGGGGAACAAAGGACAGTAGGAACTCTCGTGGGATAAGGTGAGGCAAGCAGGTTTCAAGGCACCACGCATTCTGCAATTCTGCACTATCGCCAGCCCCCAGGAAAAGACTGGTCAGTACACACAGGAGGGAAAGCCCTTCAAAGTAGTTGCTAAGGCAGCTTTATGCCTCCCCTTAAAAAAGCATTAGAGTCCCATGGTACTTTTGCCCTCAGTTGCATTTTTCTGTTCTCCTGGTTTTTTGTCTGTTTTGTTTTGTTATTGTTGCTGTTGTTATTTTCTATTTATCTACTTAAACAATCAACAGAAAGGGAAATAGAAAATATTTGGAACCCTCATGGGAAAGATCAGGTGTCACTGTTGAAAGGGGAACAGGCTCTTCCCTAGTCTGAGGCACGGGCACGTGAGACTGGGTGAGTGTCTACACCACGGGGCATCCTACGGTTGCACAGGGGAGGAGACGTTTCAGTGTCACTACCCTGAGAGCACCATGACGTCCACGTTCCTGCCCGTGTTCTCAGCTTGAACCCAGTGTAAGTGTGACTCTTCTCACCGAGAGATGTTTAAAAGCGAGCCGCGACACGCACAGGGTGCTCCCACAGCCGAAGGCCACAGGTGCAGGACAGAGGCTCAGAGGAAGAAGATGTAAACGATTTCCAAGTTAAAGATGAATACAGGCAGTAGGCATTTTTTGGAAATAAATCGGAAACCAATAACCAATAAAACTTGGTCCTTTACTTGAACTTTGAGCAGCAGTAGAGCCTGAAAACAATGTGGAAATGAATCTAGGGCTGGCTGATACCGCAGCGTCAGGCAAGAGCAGACTCGGGCGAGGAACGGCGGAGAAGCCCAGCTCCGCCCAGACCAGTTTAGGACACACTCCTTGCCCATCATGGCAAGTTTCTCTGGCCATGATGGCATTTTCCGGAAAATACTAAAGTGGTGGAGAAATATGCGTATCCTTGGCAGAACCACAGAAATATGGATCTCCACATCCTAGGGTGGGTGGGTCTATCATTTTCCACAAATCGTTTTTGAAATTCCAAGATAAGGAATGACCCCCTGCCCACAGTGAATATAAACTATCTGACTATTAAGATCTTTGTGTCCAGAGAGGTAAACGCCACCACTTTTGGAATATGACTTAGAAAGCTTCCATCTTTTGATATTTGTGTTGAGTCATACAAGCGGACCAAAAGGATCGATTCGTTTTAATGAAATGAACAACTTCCCAAAACATAAATTCTGCTCCTAGATCAGGAAGGCTTCAGGTATAAATCCAATAGTGCCTCTGACTCTGTCCATACTAAATGGAACAGTGACCTTTGAAAGCAGTATCAGGTTAGACTAATTTAAAAACACATATATTTGGGGAGGACTTCTAGGGGCCTGTATTTCTCCAGTGTTTAGAAAGTTGTAAATTGCTAAATGTTGAATTCCTCTCAAGTTTTTAGAGTGGCAGGTGTACATTTCTGAAGATGGATCTGGGTAGCGCACATCAGAGAAGGCAGCCAAATTGAGGCCGTGAAATAGACGACAACAACAAAGAGAGGCTGAACTGAAGCAGGCTCAGGCGTACACAGAGACCATCACACATTTAGCTGGAAGAGAAGATGCTGGTGGGAGAGCAAGGGATCACAAAAGAAGAACGGAAATGAACCGATAAAAATAAATTCAAGGGCAAATGCCTAAACTTAGAAGCGGACGTGATTTCTAACACTCTTCCTCTATTCTAACTGGTGCTTTTTCATAAAAGCATAGGACATCACAACCCAAGCGGAATATACAGCTACACGGGAACGCTGAAGTGGGGCTGGAGTTTAAACAGGGAGGATCAGAGTCCCAGGGGTCGGTTCTGCCCGTGCCTAGCACTCCGCAAGCCCTGCAGCGGCCAGGATGCTGGGTGCACCTCCCAGCTAGACGGCACTTGGGACCTACACCCTGTGAGAAGCATTAACACAGCTTCCCACAAAACTCTGAAAGAAACCAGTTAGGTGACTTTACAATTGGTAGAGTTTCTTGATGAAGCCCATTCAAACCACTGAGGGCTCAAAAATAGGCCCAGGGCATAGTACACTGGGTAGTAAAAGCAACCAAAGGTATTGGATCACCAAATTCTCTGACCCTTCCCAATCAGAAATGCCTACTTACCGAGTAGGCTCGCCACGATGGAGACCAGTCCTGTTCCAGCTCCAATTTCAATCACATTTTTGTCGACCATATTATATTGCTTTACGTTTGTTTCCAGAAAATAGCATAGAACAAGGGCCTGTGAAAATTCAAAAGAAGAAAAAAGTAGTGCTTGGTAACTGAATACAGAAAGTAAAATTAAAGTCTATTAGATAAACATCCCACGAGTGCGTATACAACATATGTATGTTGGCACACGTGAGTACACATGTGCATCCAAACACATCACTTCAGAAAATTATCAGCAGAAGTACATCCTGCGATAGGCTCAACATTTAGGATAGAGGGAGTCCTTGGGGATTGCTGGGGAGAAAAGAGAACTACGAATACAGAGTTCAGTTACTTAGGTTTGACTGCCTTCAAAGAAAGCTACTTCTAATAACGACAGTCACTTTAAAGACGTGTGTGTGTGGAACTGGGGCAGACAGCGGTAGGAAGCGGGTGTCTGCACCCTTCACGGGACACTTGACGAAGAAGAGGTGTCAGAGAATTCTGTGTGTTGAGACTAATACAGATTTCAATATAATTGTTTGATTCAAATGGAGGTAGTTATATGGAAAATAAAAATGTTTACTATTCTAAACTTTTGTGATTCATAATCACAAAAAAACTTAAGGTGTAAACAACATTCTTTATTAACCTTACAAGTCAGAAATAGAATTCATTGTGGAAGCATTTTCCTACTTTCGTGATTTCTGAACTTTAGAGTTGTTCGAAGAACACATAAAACGGAACTGTGGAACCTGTTTTCTCCTTCCAAATAGCATATAATGAATAATGAACAAAACTGGCTGAAAAATAATTGAGATGTAGCAGAATTTGCATGACATTATACCGATGGCCAAACAACAGCACCGTAACAATCCATGGCCTCCCTGATCCGGATCTCCTGACCAGCAAAGTGGAATCCCTCCCAGGAGGGGGCTGTTATAGAAGCTGGAACAAAACATCTTGCCATGATCTCTGCGACCACTTTCTTGTCATCACCTCCTCTGTTCTCTGAAAGGAACAGGAAAAGGCAGTGTTTGTGGTTGTGTTAGGAAAACCATGACAGAGGGAAGAACTTGGTGGAAAGGCTACATTTCTATTTTTTCTAAGTTAGTTTTGAATAGTCATTGGCTTCAGGTGCAATGTAATCGTAACATAAACTATTTGAAAATAATTCTTAACAGAAGCTAACATTTCATACATCAGAGCAGCTACATCTTTCTGATGATCCCTGAAGTTGAATTCACTACTAGTCATTTCTGCAATGCCATGTGAAACGAGTAATAATTGACACACTTTTTTAAAAGCAATGTATCTTAAAGGCTATCAATCTATTTACCTGCAACAAGAGAAAGACTGGTGACGGAATATAAGATTTCGACTGTTCTTCCGGCTACACAGTAGAATTCCAGTTATTTCAATAATGGAATAGTAAGTAGCATGTCCTTTATGGTCTGCCTTTATCCAGACAAAAGACAAATGATACCACCCAATAATATGCCCTTGTGCTATTTTATTATTACTTATTTTTATATTATTACTTGGGGGCGACTTATGGCATCTTACCATCCCCAATATCAAATAAGTTTCATAAGCAACATTAACTACCAATTATGAGCACACACTTCACATGCCAGACCGAGTTAAATACACTATATATATTTCACGTTATCTTTGCAGCAGTTTTGTGAGGCAGGCATTATTATTTTCACTTTTACAGATAACAAAACCAAGACTCAGAGAGCTTTACTAACTTGACCAAGCTCATGTAACTTGTAAATGAAGGAACCTAAATGTGAGCGCTTTTCTTGTTCCAAAGCCCCCTCTCTGCACTATAAAAAAGCAATGATGTCATTTTTAAAAACCAAGTTGTCTCTACGAATTTACAAACTAGTTATAGAGCAAGAACGCATCTCTCTCGAAGCCTCCGTTTCCCTGTTTGTAAAATGTGAAAGGCAGAAGAACCTGCGTCAGAGAGTGTTGGGAGATTTACACGAGGTGATGTGTGTAAAGTGCTTAGCACTGTGTTACACAGAGTTCAATAAATTATTATTATTGTCATTGTAACTGTTATTGTATTGTGGTCATGAAACTAAATGATAAAACAAGACACCATATAACCAAAAGTATTGGATTGTGTGGCATTTGACTGAAAATCTTATAGTCACTCGTAGAAGCAGTGAGTACACCAGGGCAGGGGCGGGGGGAACGGGGAGATGTCGGTCAAAGGGCACAAAGTTTCAGTTACACAAGATGAGTAAGTTCTGGGGGTCTGATGTGCGGCACGCTGACTATGGTTAACAATAATGTGTAGTACCCTCAAAATTTGCTAAGAGAATAGATCTTCAGTGTTCTCTCAATAAAAAAAAAATTAAAGAAAGAAAATGGTAGTATAGCACAGGGAATTATATTCAATATCTTGTAGTAACTTATGGTGAAAAGGAATATAAAAATGAATATATGTATGTTCCTATATGACTGAAGTATTGTGCTGTACACCAGAAATTGACACATTGCAAACTGACTATACTTCAATAAAAACATACTAAAAATAAAAAATAAAAAATAAGCCTTCCCTGAAATGACAAGAGAAAAAAAAAGAAGCTATGTGATGTGGGCTGCATGCATCTTTGCATGGATATGACAAGGGAGAATAAATTGTAGATTATAGACATCACTGTGAACTAAGAAAGAAAAATGATTTCTCTAAAACGGGCTGGAGCTTAAAGATGAAGAGGCATCTCTGAACAGCCCCAGCTGGGCAACGACCCAGGAAATAGATGGCATTGTGTATTAGGACACTCTGGCACCCTTGCCCATGTCCTCCTCATTTTCTAGCCCCCTTACTAGCTTCTCCTTGCAAGAGAGAAGAAGCCGTCATCTGATTAGCAGCCTACCGTGTGGACTGGGCCGTGGTGTTTCCTAGTGGGAGGGGAGCTGTGCCTTACAAGCTCAGCCCTTGTGTCCCAATGCCTCTTCCCACCACGTTCATGAGGTTGGCTGAGCTGGGAAAGTCCTGCCTCAGTGAGAACTTAGCCAATAAGAGCATCTAGGGCTGCAGCCCTTTATCTCTAGGTAGAACAGGATCACTGCTGACATCCAGATCATATCATGTTAAATGTCTGCCACTCTAAACGTGTCTTTCAAAATCTTGTACACACCTCATGGCTGAAATTACGTTCAGCAGTCCCAGCTTCACACTTGCTGGTTTGAAATATTTTTCAATGCAAGATATAGAAGGTGATATGCAAAAATGGAGAGAGACTCTATGCACTTAATGGGGTGGCTTAATACTATAAAAATGTCCTATGTACTCAGTATAATATCAAGCATACTTCCAGTTAGCTTTTCTGAGAAACTTATTATGCTCACTCCAAAACTTAAACGGAAAAGTAAACATTCATGAAGAGTCAACTTTGCAAAAAAAGAACAAGGGGTAGGGAGATATTTGCTTTATTAGGTATTTAAATGTCAAAGCCATAGTAACAAAAATAGTGTGGTACCGGTGTAAGAGAAGAATGGACCAATGGGCAAAGTAGGGGTCACAGAGGCAGACCTACATACGGAGAGGGGACGGGGCAGCTGGCACATTATCTGGAGAAAAATAAAACTGGATCTCTGTGTAATATCTTTTATAAAGATGGATTCCAGAAGGATCAAAGGCCAAAATATAAAAGGAAAAATAAATTTAACAGTAAATAGTATAGGGTGATATCTTTGTGAAATTGAGAAGAAAACCTTTTTAAAACCTGCAATACCCCAAAGTGATGAATATCCTTGTATTAGAAGTAAAGATTTCTATTCAGTGAAGAATATCATGGATGAAATTTAAAAATGAAAGATGAGGGAAGATATTCTACAATGTCTAAGACTGAAAAGGGACTAATATCTTGAATATGCAAGGTATCTGAGTAATCTCCAAATTAACAAGGAAAAAACCGCATCAAAAAATAAGCAAAGGATGTAAACTGGCAGGTTACAAAGAAGAAATCAAACAAGCCACAAAGCAACATGGAAATGTCCCAACTCAGATATAAACAAATTAAAACAACAAGGCATCCCTTACATTCATTAAACTGACAAAAATTAGAAAGCTGGATGGAGAGTGCTGAGCTCGTGGGGATGGCAGAACCTCAGATACCACTGGTGAGAATATAGAAGGCGGCAGTCATTCTGGAGAGCAATCTTATGATATTTTGTTAAATTAAATATACAACATCCTATAACCCATGAATCCTCCTCCCCGAAATTTTTACACAAGTCCTTAAGTGGGTATGTTTGAAAATACTTATCAAAGATACACATCAAACACACTAGAATGGTTGCCAGGGGGAAGTGGGAAAGGGAGTAGGAAATGAGTAAAAGAGGAATGAGTGAATGAACAAATGAATGAATAAGACAAAATACAGACAGATATACATCCAACCGCGGGGCCTTGCTGAGATGATGGGCGTGCACCACGACCTCATGGACATGATTAACTCACACTTCGGTCCTGAGCCAAAAATGAGAAAGTAAATAAACTAAAAACAAATAATGATATTTCCAAGAAATTTAGGGGAAGGACAAAAATTTCTCATTATGGTCTTCATGGAAGACAAGTTCCTCTTGGGAAATTTATTTCCCAAATCTTAAAAGTGGAAAAACCCTAACATTTTCCAACCTTGCTGTTATTCACACTTTTAAAACAGATATAATACTCCAAATAAAATGTCCTAGAATCCTAGAACATCAGATGGAAAACACCTTAGATGGCTTGTAGTATAAGCTTACACCTAATTTGGGAACCTCATGTTCATGTTCATGTTGGGTATAAAATAACAAGCCCAGCTTTCTCAACCTCTTTGAATAAGTCCAATGAGACTGAATGTGCTCCTTCACAAGGTGCCTGTTCTGCAATTATAAAATATGATTATTGACCAGAGGAAACCTTAATTCAAAAAGATACGGGCACCCCAATATTCATAGCAGCACTATTTACAATAACCAAGACATGGAAACAACCTAAATGGCCATCGACAGATGGCTGAATAAAGAAACTGTGGTATATTCATATAATGGAATACTACTCAGCCATGAAAAATAATAAAATAATGCCATCTGCAGCAACATGGGTGGACATGGAGATTGTCATTCTAAGTGAAGTAAGCCAGAAAGAGAAAGAAAAATACCATATGATATCACTTATATATGGGATCTAAAAAAAGGAAAAAGACAAACGAACTTATTTACGAAACAGAAACAGGCTCACTGATGTAGAAAACAAATTTATGGTTACCAAAGGGAGAAACTGGGTGGGAAGGGATAAATTGGGGGTTCGATATTTGCAGATACTACTATATATAAAACAGATCAAAAACAGGTTCATACTGTATAGCACAGGGAACTATCTTCAGTATCTAATAGTAACTTATGGTGAAAAAGAATATGAAAATGAATATATGTATGTTCATGTATGACTGAAGCGTGATGCTGTACACTAGAAATTGACACATTGTAAACTGACTATACTTCAATAAAAAAAACACAAAGAAAATATGATTATTAAAAATTCTTCCTAATGCTAAACTAAAATCTGACACCAGCAATTTTTTAATCTATTATTCCTAAAGGTCAGCTCAAAGATGAGCACCCTTTTATTATTAAAACATGTCCCAAAATTTTAGGGAAGGGGAAATATGCAAAGAAAAAAATTACAAGTCAAGTGCCAGTCTTAAAAATTCTCGGCTCAAGAGTAATCAATGGCCCCAGGCCACTTTCTAATTTCTCCAGGGCACTGAGGCAAGAACAGGAGTGAAATGGTCTTGAGTCCGTGAGTCCTGAGGGGAGATGTAGTTGCCAAACTGTCCTATAAGCTCCAATAACCTCATCCCCTAGTATCTGGGGAGTCCAGTGGCAAGATGGAGGTAGATTAAGTTTGCCCTTATTGGAAAGTTCCCTTAGGGCCACCATCGAGCAGGGACTGCCAGCCAAGATGATCTCCTGGCCTAAGTTCTGTGATCCCATTACAG